GAATATGTAAAATTCGATAAAATATTGTTTAGGAAACACTGCTCTAAAGTATAGTTTAGATTCTTTCATTTGCTTTGCCTTTTGTCACCTTTGGTTTCATTTTATATAGTCCAGAAGTTTAGTGTCAACTACACAATATAAAGGTTTTGTCTGTATTTTCATCTGCCACTCGCTTCTCCACCTCATTCACAAAGATTTCATTAAAGGTCTAAGTATGCAAATGCACTATAGCCATGACAATCCCCCTGTTCAGCAAGCTACTCTGCTTTTCTTTAATGGCCCTGCCCTGAGTCTTGGTCATTACCACTTGCCTGTAAATGTTCACAAACTATATTAAGTAATATATTCCAGATTTTTTACTTTTGGGGGAAAAATATTTCAAAAAATCAAGGCTTCTTACTCTTTCCAGTCTTCTAACATCTTTCTCATCTTCACGCTTTCTCAGAGATTTCTGACAGGGTTCATAGGTCACATATCAAAGGGTAAAGAAACAAACACCGTGGGAGCATCTTCTGTGGGCTCAGTCAATACCACGCATTTGACATGGCACATGTAATCTCCCGGCCCCCTGGAGGTCTACACCATTTGCCCCACTTTATAGAGGAGTAAACAAAGGCACACAAGTTAAATGAGCTGCTAAAGTCAGTGAGATCTGAGATTCAAACCCCCCAAGACAAAGTCTGTCCTCCTCACAGTCTTTAGACCACAATGTGTGGCTACTATGATGTTTGGAACCAAAGATATGACCTCTTCTAAAGACAAATAAGTGATCCCTTGAATCCTCATAAAATCTTGGCCCCAGATACTCCCTAATTCACCTCCTTGGAAGTAACAGATGGGCGATGGGGTGACGTAACATGCCCAAGGACACAGAACCCTGAGTCAGGGCTAGTCCTAAAACCCAGTCACGCTCTCTTGGTTCTCAATACTTTATTCCAGCATTGCCAGTTTAAAGATTACTCTCCTTTAAAGCCGAAGGCAAAATAACTGTTGTGTCGTTCTGCTTTCTTATAAACAATCAGTTCTTCTCTGATAAAAATGATAAGGCTGAGGTTTTAGAATCCGAGACCTAAGTCAATTTCTGTGGTTCTACCACGGTAAGCGTCTACCTCAGGCGAGCTCCTGAACTCCCTGACCTCTAGTTTCCTCGTCCCTAAAATGCTAGTATCACCTACCCTCCCTGAGTATTAAATAGGATTTAATTCTTTGAAAGTATTAAGTATGCTGAGTATTAAGTATGACGTGATTCACGGAAAGTGGTGAGGACAGTCCCGGTGACAAGACGGGCTCTGTCCCTGGAAACAGCTGGGAGCAGGTGTTCTCATTTCTGATTGGGCATTAGAGTCATCATGGGATTAAAAAAAATTCAAAAACAAACAAACAAAAATCCAAGACCCACAAAGAAATGACTGAAACATTGACTACATTAGATTTTTAGAGTTCAGTATGACAAATGATAGCATAAACCTAAGTAAAATGAAACAGACTGGGAGAAAATATTTGTCACACACATAACAGTATTCAGATTATATAAAATGTCAAGAAATCAGTGAGATTTGCAACAGAAAAAAATGGCAATCTGAATGGACGAGTCACAATTTATAAAAGAAAAAATCTAATATTGTGAAATACAAAAAGACATCCCATCTCACGCATAATTAGGGAAATGAAAATTAAAACAATAAATTAACACATTTCACCTATTATATTGCCTAGGATTAAGAAGCAGTAATAAGTTAATATTCTTAAAGGTATAGAGAAATGAGTATTCCCATATTGAACAAGTGGTAATATCAATTGTTACAGGATATTTGGAGAACAACTTAGTAGTTTCTTAGTATGAAAATGCCCATAGGACCGGCAATTGCACGATTCCACTTCTAGGCATCAATCCTACAGAAATATTGCATATTATATAGGAAAAATAATAATAATAATAACAAAGATAAGTACTGCAGAATTGTCTGTGGCTGCAGAAAATAGCAAACACCATAAATGCCAAAAATAGGGAGATGGATAAATAAAATATGGTACACATATTAAGAACTACTCTTCAGAAGTTAAAGGTTATGAATGTGATCTGTGTGTATTAACAGGTAGATATCTCAAAAACATTGCATTCAGAAAAATATAGATAGCAATTCTTACTGAACACAATGTGCACGGACCCTGAGGGTTTTACATGCATTAAATCATTTAATCCTGAGAACCACCCTTGGAAGCAGACACTATTATTATTATTCTCATTTTACAGATGAGGAACTGAAGCACAGAGAAGTCAAATGACTCAAAGCCACAGCCCTGCCCTCCTGAGTTTGTGTTCTTGACCGCTCTACTGAACTGACTCAAAGAGGCTGCAGAATAAGGCGCATAGCACGGTACATGTCAGTATCAATACCGTTTTTTGAAGGGCTGGAAAGAAATATACTAAACTCATCATAATGTTGCCTTGGCCAGGAAGTTTGCAGGATGACAGGATTGAGGGGAAATCAGAAAGGACTATAGCTGTATAATCAAGGAACAATATGTTCACTTGTAATTTTTGAAACCGTAATCATACATGAAAAAGTGAAAGTGAATATGTCAAAATGTTAACAGTGGTGGTTGTGTGTGGTGGAAATATAGGTAGTTATTTTTCTTGTACCTTTTTCAGTTTGAAATTTTGAAATTTGAAATTGCTTTTTTCAATTCAAAAGAAAGAATACCTGGTAACAGTTTCCCCTCTCCCCAGAGACTGGGAGGATGGGGCCAAAATATCTGCATTTTAAAAAATTCCAGAAGTGATTCAGATGTGCAGAGACAGCTGTATTTGTAGGTGTCAGGAAGAGCTCATGGGCTTTGGAACCTGAGCTCCAGAATTCAATCCCTTCCCCACCACACACTTGCTGTGTGATCTTGAGCAAGCTACTTAGCCTCTGAGAACCTCAGTTCCCTCATCCATAAAGTGGGGTAATACCTTCTCCACCAAGTTAAATGAGGATCAAATCAAGCATCACCCGCGCCTGGCTTGTCATATAATGTGGTTCCACAAATACGAGAATTTTATTTTCTCCCTTCCCTTGGCACTTTGAATGATTATAACTTAACTGCATGTTGCCAGGCTGTTAATAAGGGTGGAAGGTATGCTGGCCTCTACAACGTCTAGAGCAATTTCTGTAATAGATTAGGAAAAAAATCAATATACACTAACAACAACATTTCACCAATCACCCAACACAGTGACCTCTGTTTCTTCCTCTGTAAATTAGGTATAATTACACGACTTATGGACCAGGGCAGTTGAGATTTTGAATAATGCTTTTAAAAGTTCACCCAGAGTACACACATGCACATACACACACACACACACACACACCCCTTGGGTGCATTTCATGCAGTCCTGGTAATTTAGTTACTTGTGGTTTATTTATTAGATAGAAAACACATTGTTAATTTACTATTATTTAATTTATTAACTCTGACTAAGTCCTGACCTCTCAAGAAGAAAATGCTGATTAACTGTAACATAAGGGTAAAATGTTACATAGGAGCATTTCACAGATACATTCTTACTCATGGACAGTTAGTCATTCAGAAAGTACTTGTCTCTCTTCTGTGCACTCATCGCTTGTTCTCATTGAGGCAGCCATTTTTTCCCCTTTGGATAGCCAAGTTTAATTTTTTTAAATAGACTTTATTTTTTTAGATCATTTTTAGATTTACAGAAAAATTAAGAGGATAGTACAGAGAATTCCCATAGACTCTGCTCCCAGTTTCCCTACCGTTAACATCTTATATTTAGTGTGGAACATATGTTACAATGAATGAATCAATATTGATTAATTATCATAAACTCAAGACCATGCTTTATTAGAATTTCTTTAGTTTATATCTAATGTCTTTTTTCTGCTCTAGGATCCCACTCAGGACACCCCATTACATTTAGTTGTCATGGACTTAAGCCTCCTCTTGACTGTGACAATTTCTCAGACATTCCTTGTTTTTGATGACCTTGACAGTTTTGAGAAGTACAGGTCAGGTATTTCATCTGATGTGCCTTAATTGAGATTTGTCTGATGTTTTTCTCATGGTTAGATTGAGGTTATGGGTTTTGGGGAGGAAGACCGCAGAAGTAAAGTGCCATTTTCATCACATCATATCAAAGGTACATGCTATCCACATGACTTACCACTGTTGATGTTGACCTTGATCACCCGCCTAAGCTACTGTTTGTTGGTTTCTCCACTGAAACCTTACTCTTTCCCTGGCTTTCCATCCTGTCCTCTTTGGAGGAAAGTCACTCTGCACCACCCACACTCCAGAAGTGGGCAGTTATGCTCTCCTCATTGAGTACAGAATGTCTCCTCAAATTACTTAGAATTCTTCTGCATGGGAGATTTGTCTCTTCTCCATTTATTTATATATTCAGTCACCAGATTTAATTTTATTAAAGAATTCATGGTAAAAATTAATCGGCTCGAAAATATTCCTTCTTAAAACCCAGGGCAAAAGAGTTAGAAAAAGTCTAATTTTCTTTGGTCATATTTAAATTTAATCTTATTCTTAATTGGACACTTAAAATATATAAAACTGGGTCTGTGGAGGATATAAAGACCACCGAGCCAAGGTTCTCTGCCTGAAGAAACCATCCGCAGGCCCAGACAGAAATCTATACACTTAACAAGGCAAACCAGTGCTGCAGTGAAAAATCAAACGTGCTTTGAGAACACTGAGAAGATAGTACGTAGTTCAAGGAAGGCTCTCTAAGAGAAGTCTGAGGCCAGTGCTGGTTTCTGTGTGTGCCACCAGAGATTCTGAACGATTCAGATTACGAATGGAGAAACTGAAGCTCAGAGAGAATGAAAGGCTTACCTAAGCTCACACAGCTGGTTAATGGAAGAGCCTCAGCTCAAAATCAAGTCTTTCAGTTCCCGATCCTATGTTCCTTTCCCTGTATCCAACTAAACAATGACAAAGTCCCCTATGCTCTTACATAAGGCAGAAAGGAATAAAGCACTTACCTCAAATAAGCGTAAGACTTTGGCCAGAGCGCCAACTTCTTCTTTGAGTGAGAAGATCAGTGATATGGCGCCATTTGGATTGGAGTTGTCTTCAATATAGCTTGTTTCCTACAGGATTAAATGCACTTGGTTAAAATGTTTCCCACAGCTTAGCAATTCATTCCCAGGAATCTCCAAGGAAGAGGCAAGCACGAACTTTCTCTTCTGGTTAAGCGCTGGAATACAATGAGCTACATATATTCTATATAGAAGTATAGACTGTGTGATGGAAAATAAGTAGGTCAAGGGCAGTGATATTTTCAATGATGCTTTTAGGTCAGATTTCATGTTAGGACGCTTCAATTATTCACTGATGTCACCAGGCATCCAACAAATTCAATACCTTTTAATGAGTACCTAACAGGTGCTAGGTACTAACAGGGCTCTGAGAGATACAAAGATGAATAAGACAATGCCTTATCCTTCAGTAGCTCAAAATCTAGCTTGATACATTCATACACAACAAACCAGATAACCAGAGAAAGATCCTTATTAGAGGTGGTATAATACAGTTCAAAAAGCATCCCAGGAAAACACGGAGAAATACAAGGTGGAAAGTACTAAAAATAGAACACACACAGGCTTTTGAGCCCAAAGCCCTGGGTTGGAATCCTCTCTCTTCTGTTTACCAGCTGGAGCACTTTGGGAAAACCACTTAACTTTCTTATCTTCCTCATCTGTAAAATCATGCTAATAATAAACTGGGTCAAAACAGTATTCAGATAGTGAAAAAAATAGATAAAGGTAAAATAGTTTAAATAGAATATTAAGAGACGTCTGTAAAAATGATGGAAATATTATAAATACGCAAGAAGGTTTCTTGGCCTTTGGCAAGGATCTCAGGGAAGCAGAAACTTGTTCCCATATGCTGGGATCTGAGGTACCCAACTGTTGAAGAACAGTCACAAAATATGTAAGAGCACACAATACTGTCAAGGATCGAGTACTTTTTACATGCATGTAACAGCAAACTAGGCGGGATTAGAGCCGGCATTCCAGGACGAGTTTGATGAAACATTTGCTTAAGTTTTAAAATAATATAAAGTTTTATGTGTACCCACAAATAAACAGCATGTACCTAAAACTGGGAAGAAAAAGCCATGTAGAATAACTACTCTCTTGTAAGCAAGTTAATAAAATCAGTGGAATGGATGTTACATCATGTCAATGAGAACGCCGTGTTGGGCAGGCTCGATCAGTGACTCAGTATAATAAGGTCTGCATGAATACTGATGACCTTCAGTACAACATTCTTTGAATTCAGGAAATTCAGATTCCCCCAGAACGTCATCTAAAACAGAGATGTGTGGGAAGACTCAAAATTATCAGTAAATATGATTAGTAGGGGCTTCATATGAATTGGAAGACCAAACTGTTAGATATTTCTCTTTATAGACCATGATGTTACCTTTCATAAAAAAAAAATCTACCATTTATTATGAACCTAAAATGCCCCAGGCACTATAATAAACACTTGATTTGAATTATCTCATTTAATTTTTATAATAATCTAGAAGGTAATTTTTATTATCCTCCAAATGCCTCCTTTTATTGATGACAAAATTAAGGCTTAAAGAAGTTAAGTAACTTGCCCATGTTACACAGAGGAGCCAGGATCGAAACCCACGCCACTCAACACCAGCATACTGTCTATGAATCACAACTTCTTGCGGACTCCATCCCACCTTCTCCCTCTTTTAAACCCTGCTGAAATATGTAAATGAGCCTCTGACATCAGTCTTCTTCTTTGTCCAGAGAACACTAAGCCCTTAGCCCTTTCCAGTTTCCTTGAAATGACAAAAGATTTCCATTTCTAGTTCATTTGGCAACACTCTTCTCCTGTTGGCCTCCAAGAAAAGTAACATATTCCTGATACACCTCAACAGATGTCACCTACGACTGGGGCAATTCAGATTCGAATGCACCATACTCAAAATTCCATCACCACCACCTCCCCACTCCTGTGCATGTCCAGCCAATTACCAAGTCCAATCTAACCTCCTCCAGAAATGACTCTGGGGGTCAGGTCCTTCTTTATTTCCCACTACCACCGTAGCAATCCAGCTCTGCGTGATGTGTATTGATCCAGCCCTAACGGAATTTTCTCATGTCCTTCTTCTAATCAGAGGTCTTCAAAGGCTCCCCATGGCCAACAGGATAAAATATCTCTTTTTGATATTCAAGAGTTCCTTGGTACCTCACCTCCTGAGGCCCACCCACCCACAGCATGTACCTAAAACTAGGAAGAAAAAAACATGCACAGCAATGCTTCTCTTGTAAGTAAGTTAATAAAATTATTGGAATGGATGTTACATCATCTCAGTGAGAATGCTGTACTGGGCCGGCACCATCAGTGACTTGGTATAATAAGCTCTGCATGGATACTGATGACCCTTAGTCCTAGGAACCTCCTCTCCAGCAAACTGGTTTCTTCCTTGCCTTTTCAACTCCTCATTATAGTAAATACATTGCATCCCTCTCACCCTTCTTTCAAATATCTCACCCTTACTCAAAAGTCCTCTTGGATCTCACTTCTCTCAGAAAACGTGAGTACTCAGCCAAGGAGGACAATCCTTCCTCGATCTTTGCATTCGATATGGCTTCTGATGCCCACCTGGGACTTGATGATAATGATTCACAGAGCTGAACTCGTTTTTAGAGTTCATCTGGCTCAACCCCCTCATTTTTTTTATTGCAGTAACATTGGTTTGTAACATGTAAATTTCAGGTGTACATCATTATATTTCATTTTCTATGTAAATTACATCATGTTCACCACCCAAAGACTAATTACAATCCATCACCATACACATGTGCCCAATCACCCCTTTCACCCTCCTCCCCTACCTTCCCTACTGGTAACCACCAATCCAATCTCTGTCTCTATGTGATTTTTTTGTTCTTACTTTTATCTTCTACTTATGAGTGAGATCATATGGCATTTGACTTTGTCCCTCTGACTGATTTTGCTTAGCATAATAGCCTCAAGGTCTATTCATGTCACAAATGGCAAGATTTCATCCTTTTTATGGCTGAGTAGTATTCCATTGTGTATATATACCACATCTTCTTTTATCCATACATAGATATAAGCACAGAGAAAGATGCAATGAAGAGACAAAGGAATACATTCTAAATAAGGGAAGGGGACAAATCCTTAGAAAAAGGACTAAATGAAACAGAGATAAACAATCTACCTGACAAAGAGCACAAACTAATAGTCATAAGGATGCCCACTGATCTTGGGAGAAGAATGGATGAACTCAGTGAGAACTTCAACAAAGAACTAGAAAATATGAAAAAGAACCAATCAGAAATGAAGAGTGCCTAGAACCTCAACTCCCTCATTTTGCAAGTGGGGAAACTATGGGGCAAAGAGAGAAAGCGACTCACCTGAGGTCACATAGGTAGTGGGTAGGAGGTTAAGAGCTCAGGCTCCTAAATAGCAGTCAATCTATACAATTTCCTCTGCTATGGACATAACGTTATTAAGGTCTCTGTTTCTTGCAGAGTAAGAGCCTTACTCTGGTCTAATTACCAGACAGCTACTCAATACCACTCCTAACAGCCTACATGTCACCCATGCCTTTCCCCCTTCACTTTCTCCATTCTCCCCAGATACTTTCTAAATCAGCCTTCTCAATAAGTGTCCCTTGGATCTCCACTCCAAAATTACCTGGTGATCTCTTGTTCAAATGCAGATTCCTTGGCCCCACCTAACCCTATCAAATCAGAATATTTGGGGTAGGACCTTAGACTTTGCATTTTTCAAAAGCTTTCCAGATGATTCTTAACTGTGGAAGATTTTGAAACTACTAATAAACATACAGCCTATTTTTTTGTTTGTTTTTGGTGAGGAAGATTGGCCCTGAGCTAACATCTATTGCCAGTCTTCCTCTTTTTGTTTCAGGAAGATTGTCCCTGCGCTAACATCTGTTCCAATAATCCTCTATTTTGCCTGGCTTGATGAGCAGTCTGTAGGTCTGTGCCTAGGATCTGAACCCACGAACCATGGGCTGCTAAAGCTGAGCACGTGAACTTAACCACTACGCTACCAGGCTGGCCCCCACACCCTTTTTTTTAAATTATGACTTTTCTCAAATGTGTCTGCAAACTCACATTCACCATATGATGTCACTACTCTTTAGTGTTACTATTAATAGTACAGCCTGCCATTGACTGAGTACCCACTATGTGCTAGGAGCCATTCTTGGCACTTTCCACAGTTAATAAACATCATCATTGGTAGCAACAAGCACTGTTCTAAGAGTTTACATGTAATAGCTCATTTAGTCCTCACAATAGCCCCATGAGGTGGGTGCTGTTATTTTGCAAATGAGGAAATAGTCTCAGCAAGGTTAAGTGGCTTGTCCAAGGGCACCCAACAAATGAGTGGCAGAGCCTGGACTTGACCCCAAGTCCCAAAACTCCAAAGTCTTTATTCTGCCTCCCAGTGACAGACCCAGCTGGGACAACAGCTCCCCTTTTCAAAGACTGAGGGACATTAAATAAAAGGAAGTTCATGGAAGTTTGTGAAATGATGTGGCCTTAGATGGATTCTGATTCCAACCCTGCTTTGTTAATCCATCCTGGGACCTAGAGCAAATCTCTTCCAGAATATGTTTCTGTTGGCTCATAACCTATACCTTATTTGTTTCCAATAGACATGTGAGTTGACTTAGAAACACATGTACACCCAGTGTGGATAAAGATAGAGAAGAGCAGCTTAGAAACTATATAGGAAGAAATAGAACAGGGAGAAAGAACTTTACTAGGAACCGGGAAGGAAAGAACTTTGAACATTGAGCAATACATTTCACAATAGAAATATATTCTCTTTGGTTGTGTCTAACAAATATACTCATTATCTTTGGAAAATATAGTTTTCAAAATTACAAGCAGTAAGACTCTTTGGCAAGGATATTCCAGGGACACTGACTTTCAATCTTATTGCTTTTAGCGGACTTGGTAGGAGGGGTGCATTTGCATGTGTGAGTATACACACACACAGCTACAGTGCAAGACAACTGAAAACAACATGCAGACATCCTGCCATGGACACACTATACCTCTGTGCCAGCATTTGTCTACAGGAGGAAGCAGGGAGATAGGGGAACATGCAGGGCATCAGAGTCAGAGCAGAGTTTGAACCCCAGCTTCACCATTCATAGCTGTGATTTCTGAGTTCCCTTCATCTTCTATTCCATTGCCCTGCTCTATTTTTCTTCATGGCACTTATCTCTCCATGACCTTATATGTTCACTTCGTTAATGTTTTTATTGTCTGTCTCCTTCATTAGAATCTGTTTCACCAGAGCAGAATCTCTGCTGTGCCTGGCACACAGTATGTGCTCAATAAGTCTTTGCTGGGTAAATGAATGAGCCCAATACCTCTTGCTGGATTTCTGTGCCTGTTGTGTGTATAGAGCGCTTGACCTATCCTATGCCTTCTAGCCATCTAGCAGAATTACGCCCAGTGTGTGCTGTTTATCTGGGTTGGGAGCTTCCAGAAGGCATAAACTGTGTCTTTTTTGCAGTCTATCAGAGCTGGAAGGAATCCTAAAGACCTTTCTAGTCCAAACCCTCCCTCCAATTTTACAGATACCAAACCGAGCCTCCTCACCCCACTTAGGCGACTTTCCCAATACATAGCTTAAGTAAACCAAGGATGAGAGCCCAGGTCTGCTGATTGATGTTCAGCATCCTTCCATGATGAAGCTGTACCAGCCACTGGACCTGACTCAGTGTTTGTCCCTCCTGCCAGTGTTCCAGACACATTTTGTTGAACAAACAAATCAGCTCTGGGTAACACCACTGGCACTTCCCTATGCCCCAGGAACTGTGCTAAGAGCTTCGCAGACATTATTCCATTTCATTCTCACACCAACCCTAGGATGTGGGTATTTTTGTTCCAATTTTTCAAATGAATAAACCTGAGGTTCTGCGAAGTTAAATAACCTGTTTTCGAAGCACTGGAGGTACCGGAGCAGGCTCCAAACTCAGCTCTTACCGCTGGTCATCAATAGTGACAATTCGTGGTTCTCAATCTCCTAAGTGCTCTATAAAGAAAACTTTAAGCTCCCACAGTACCCTGACGAAATCTCTGCCCCTAACCTCTTCCTGTGGTTGTGGGGGCCCCACTGCCAGCAACACAGAAAATATATGATGACAGAGCCAGGGTCTATTCTGGAATCTGTCTGACGCCCACACCACCCCTCTTTCACATCAAGTTCTGTCTCCCCAGCACTGCATACCATTTTCAAAGGTAGACTTTCTCTGAGGACACAAAAAAGTCCGTCCAAAGTCCTGTAGCCTCTCTAGTTGCACTAAAACAGCAACCATCTTCTCCTCTCCAGCCTCCAGTTGTCTGGGTCATTCTCAGTAATCCTACAGATGACAGATGCCTGTGGACTCACAGTATCTCCCCTGGCTGGGCTTTAAATCTGAACCCTGGAATTCAGGAATGCGATGCCACAATTAAAGAATGTATCTGGCAAATGTTTACCTTAAGAGAAAGGCAACAATCCCCCGAGACTGGCATGCACCCTGGGCATTATCCCCAAGTCACATTTGGAGTGCTCTCACCTTCCAGCCCAGGGCTAGCTCTTGTTCATTTCCCTCTGTCTCTAATTTTCTCCTTCCCAGGTCTGAGTAAGTCTGAGACCTCTTCATGCCTCATTTTCTCCCAAAGATGAGAAAAGGATACAATTTCTCACAATGTTGCCATTTCGATACCTGGCTGAGGGCACTTTATAAACATCACAGAAGAGCAGATCTAGGAGAACCCCATCCCCTGGTCAAGATCATTAAGGACCAGATCCTTCAGGGTACAAAAGAAAAAGCAGACAACAGAGAGGGATAGTGACTTATCCAAAGACACACAGCTAGTTTGTGGCTGCTCTGGAAGCTAGAACCCCAACTCCTAAGGCAGTGCCTTTTCCCCTGAAAGCCACACAGGATAGATGTCCTCCCACTTGGAAACAATCGTGGAGTACATGTGGTATCTGTTGATTTCCTGGACATTTTCATCACCTTCAAATGAATTCAGGCTTCGTAGTGAGTTTATGGAAGTAGGAAACACCAGTATTCCTCAGCCCTCTTTCCACCGGAGGCCAAACTCCCGTCCCGCGCAGGGGAGGCCCGCTCCGTCCTGGCTCACCTGTCCAAAGTCGGAGAATTTCCTGCCGAAGCCTCGGTTTTCTAGGACCACAGCTGACATGCTGGCTTCCAGGGAGCAGGCAGGTTTGCAAACACCATGTGGTGCAGAGGTTTTTAACCTGGCCTTAGGGAGGACAGGAGACCTTCCAGGGTGTTTCCTGTCGCGGAAGGACCACAGGAACGCCCCCTGGGGGGGCGTTGTCCTGACGCAGTGGCTCCAGGTCAGGTCACCTGGCCTGGGTCCTCCAAAGGGGAGGGGCGGGGGCGGGGAGGCGAGCCTTGGCTGCCCTCCCTCGATGGAGGAAAAGGCTAAGCAAGGAGAAGGCCACGTGTGCGCTGGCAATTAGACAGATTTAGTATTTCCCGGACTCTCGGAAGCCTAGGAAGGGGGTTCTCTGCTATTGGAGGAAACTTGCCACCGCCTGATGATTACAATCATGAGAAATAATCCTTTCTCCCCCGCCCTACCCCCCCCCCACCCCAATAGAAGAAGAGACAGGATCCTAATTTAGATATGTTTGGTTTTTTTTTTTTTTTTTTGGTCCTTTCTGTTAACCGCTAAGCAGACTAGCTTTCTGTGCTTTCGCTTCAGGAAACTACATATAGGTGACCTTATGAACACTGAGCACAGCTGCTAAAGACCAAAAGTAAGAGCGGGACCTGGACTGAAATCCAGCCATGTGTCCTCCAGCTATTTTCGTAACTGCTAGGAGCACCCAAAAGAGAATGGTAGAGCCGCCTTGCCAGGATATTTTAAGAATATGCGTAAGAATAAGAATGAAGTAATTCATTAAATGTTTAGTACAGTTCCTGTCATATAGTTCAACAGGATAAATAGCAGATATTGTTTAAAAGTAGGTGATAAGAAATAATTAATGAGGACCTCCACTGTGTGCCAGGCAGTATTCTAGGCATTGGGCATACAGCAGTGAATGAAATAGGGGACCCTGTCTCCCCCCCGGCATGCTGCCATTCTAGAAGGAAGACAGAAAATAAACAAATAGGTTTAGACACTAAGCCTTCTGAAGAAAAGAAAATAGGGGGATGGGCTAGGAGTGAGTGCTGGATGCTGGAGAGTGGACTCCTTCTAGTAGGTGGGAAGGTGTCATTTACCCCATTTTTCCAAATCAGGAAACTAAGATAAGGCCCTTATTGCTGGTGGGAAAAACAAAATATAAAACAAACACTGCAGAGTCAGAGGTTCAGAAAGGATGTGAAAAAAAAACACAGGGGCATCAAGACCTTGAGTGCTGCCTAATAATTACCCAGGAAAGGGTAATGGGCTGAGAGGAAACAAGCCAATAATAAAGGTTGCTAGAAATCCACCCTCTCCCCTCCCACAATTCTTTGACGAATGACCAACCATCTGCCAAAACAGAAAAAAATCTCGGATTTGAGATTCAAAACAAGTGGATTAACTCCTCGTTCCACCGCTGAGTAGCTGTGTAGCTTTGGTCAAGCCCGTGTTTCAATTTCTTTGTCTTTAAAATGGGAATTTTAAGAGTTGTTGTGTAGGATTCCTCGGGCCTCTCTGATGTTCCAGGCTTCCTGCTGGCTGCTAAGAGTACAGATATAACTAGGTATAATTTCTGCCCAAAAGGAGTCCTTGGGCATCTGAGTAATATTTCCCATGGTAAGTTAGAAGATCGGTGTTGGTGAACAAGGAAGGATGAGACCTTGACTTCGACCCTCAGGAGAATCTGTATCCTTTATCTGACTCCAGTATGTTTCTAGTGTGATAGATACAAAATGGAGTTTTCCTTGGCCCCAGGACGGCCTTACAAACATCATTTCTTCCCTTGATGCTGCTGGTATACTAAGGAAAGCAGTGAATGTGCCAGCATCTGCAATACGAAAAGCATGTAATAAAAAAGAGCAAGCAATAACAGCTACTTATTTCCAGGCACACTATGTTAGACTCTGTGCCAAGCTTGCCACATGTGTGATTTCATTTTTTCCACTTAACACCCTATGAATTTTGCATCCCCATTTTATAGATAAGGAAACTGAGATCAAGAAAGTTTAAATAGTCCAAAAAATCAAACTACGTTTTACCAAATTCCAAGGCACTAGCTCTTAAATAGTCTTTCTTTCCTTTTTGAAATAAGAACTGTGATGTTTAGGACAAGAAAATAATGGCACTTCTCTTTTCTCCTTACACCAGCTAGAAGTGGAATTCTTAATGCTGTCTCGCATAAAAATGCCCCAGATCTCGGTTGGGAGGAAAGCACACTTAATTGTCTGCTACCTCAGAGAAAAACACTAATAGCTTCTTTAAAAAAAATTATTTTAGCAAAAAAGGTGAAATTTATCTATGGACTAAGTTAAAAACACGCTTAAGATGAGATTGCTTGTGGTGTGAATTTTGTAGATGATTTATAAACTACTTGTTTAATTTGGATAGAATACAATGTGTTGCTGATACTAATGAGGGAGGTGCTGGGTCCTAAGAAAACTGCCCTGGACAGTGAAACTCTAGAGGGAGCATCCAAGAATTCAGCCTGTAGACCACTGAGATACTGTGAATGGCCACAAAGAGGTGGAAGCTATGTCGCAAGATGGGCAATTGTGTACCTGATAAACTTAGAGTTGACCTTCACTGCTTTGGAAATTGAAGATTTCCCGCCCACTGAAGGTTATCAATCCCTTCATTTAACCTCATACATAGAGGGTTGAGTTAATCATAATCTATGAGTTCATGGCACAAAGTCAAAACCTCCAGGGCCCCTCTCTTGCTTTGTTTATTTGTTCTCTTTTATCTTCATTCCCCACTTCTACTCCCTTCCCCCAAAGATAACGTCCCTAATATGTTTAATACCTAGCCTTGGATTTTTAAAATGCATGGAAATATTGGTGCGTGTATATGTTTTTTCATGTATATGAGTGATGTGTAGTATAGGTTTACTACAGTATATAGATGTACTATATAGGTTTGATAGTTTCTAGCTTATTTTTTTCAACCATGTTCTTAGGATCTAGCCATGCTGCCGAATGGACATCTCGTTCTTAGCTTTTTACCTGGTGTGGAGTGTTCCAGTGTATAACTACCACCTTTGACTTCTCTATTCCCCAGTGATGGACGCCCAGGCTGTCTCTAATTTTCCACAGCCCCCAAACAATGCTAAGATAAACATCCTCATCCTTGTCCCCTTATAAACTCCTGTGAGAATTTTTCTGAGATAAAAAGGTAGGGTCCTGAATCACAGGGAACTTGCATTCTTAGTTGCACAAAGTCCCACCAGATTGCCCTTTGGAATGGCTTGCCCTAGTCCACACTCCCTCCAGCTCAGCAAAAGAGTTCCTGTTGCTTAGTATCCCCAATATTGGGCGTTTTCCAAATGTCTCATTCTTTGCCAATCTGATCATTGTCAAGAGATATCTCCATGCTGTTTTTCGTTTGCATTTCTCTTATTACAAGTGAGTTTGAACATCTCTTTACACGCTTATGCCATTTAGATTTCCCATACTGTAATTAGTTCATTATCAAATCCTTAGCCCATTTTCTATTAGGATTCCTGTTTTTCCGTATTGATTTGAAGGAATAATTTGTACAGTCTAGATGTTAGCTCTGTGCCTTTTTCCGTCACTGAAGATGCCATCTCTTACTCTATCACTGTCAGTTAACTGTCAACCTGTGTCGTTTCTTGAGAAAAAAATAATTCTGATATAATAAAAATACATCTTTAAAAAGATTGTTTGTAGTTTGTGCTCTTGGGGTCTTATTTAAGAGGCCCTTCTCCATCTCTAAATTACAAAGATATTCTCTTCTTTCTGGTCTCATCATTAACGTTTTAGCTTTCACTCTTAGATCTTTACTTTATCTGTATCTCTTTTGTCTATGGGATATGCTAATGACCTAGTTGCTTTTTCTCCTCCCTCCGTATCATGAGTTAGTTTTCAACAAGTACAAGGGCTTTTCGACATTGACATTTTATACCAGAGTTTTCTGAATTGAGATGAAAGGATCTCTTCTCAGAGGCGCATGGTAGGAGACATCTCTCTGACTCTGGTAACATATGTACAGTTTTTCAAATTCCCCTTTATACCTGAGTCTGTCTCTGAGGTTTAACTTTTATTCCATTTGTTTACTCCGTTATGTCTCCTTTTTTTTTTTTTTTTTTTGGATGAAGATTAGCCCTAAGCTAACATCTGTGACCATCTTCCTCTACTTTTTTGTGGGATACCTGCCCCAGCGTGGCTTGATGAGCAGTGCATAGGTCCACACCTGAGATCCAAACCAGGGAACCCCAGGCCACCGATGTGGAGCATGTGAACTTAATTGCTACGCTAGCGGACCGGTCCCCCATTATGTCTCCTTTTGTCTCCTTATCTTATTGTATTTATTATCACCGTATGGTTTGGTAGCATATCTTAATACCTGGTTGGCAAGTCCCCCTGCTTGCTCTTATTTTTCCCAAAGTTTACTTATCTATTAATGCACCTTTATTGTTCCAGCAGAAATTTTGATTGATTTAGCTCTTAATTTAGTGGTTAATCTGGAGGTAATTGTGTTAAACAGTAATAGTAACAGTAGACATTCATATTAGATACCAATTTATTATGAGTGCAGCCAAAGTTTCTCCATCAATATTACGCTTGATGAGGATTTTTGATGTTATAACCATCATCAAATTTATGAAATCCTGTGTCTAGCGTGATGAGGTTTGTTTGTTTTTATCACAAAACGTTGAATTTGGCATTTGCGTTTTCTGCATCTACTGAGAAAATTATATGATGTATTCCTTTTAGTCTATTAATGTGGTGAATTGCATTGTGGTAGATTTTTTAGGTGTTAAACTCTTCTTGCATACTAGGGTAAACCTTCCCTGTTTATGATATATTAACTTTTATTACACTATTAGATATGGTTAGCTCATATTTTATATAGGATTTTTGCATATATGTTTATTAGAGAAATGGAGCTGCAATTTTAATACTTGTGCTATTGTTAGCTCATTTTGAAATCAAGATTATGCTAGCCTTGCACAACAAGTTGTACAAATTTACTTGTTTTTGTAATTTCTGGAACAACCTACAGAAGATAGAAGTTATTTCTTTCTTGAAAATTTGGTAGGACCTCTTGTAAATACACTGGACTTGAAATTTTAGGGGTCAGGAAAAGTAGTAGATTATATTTGAATTCGTTTAACTATTATTGGTGTATTTAT